CTGAGGGAGGAGGGGCTGGGGGTCAGGACTCCAGGGTCTGAGGGAGGAGGGGCTGGGGGTCAGGACTCCAGGGTCTGAGGGAGGAGGGGCTGGGGTGAGCACCTCTTGACATTTCCGGCTCCAGACATTGCAGACGTTCTAAGAGCTTTCCGTGTGTAGCTTCTATTTCTCTGTCTGGCAGCATCCTGATGGCCTATACCGTGGCCCTGGCCAACTCATATGGGCGCCTCATCTCTGAACTCAAGTCCCAGATAGAGATGGTGAGGCAAGCGGGGCACCCGGGAGCATATGGAAAGGGACGTGAGGGAGGGAAGCTGTTTCATCTCCACTTCTCTTTTTACCCCAGGAGTCGCAGAATAAAGTCTTCCTGGCCCAGCAGGCCGTGGCTCTGAGCTCGCCTTCCCATTTGTAAAATGGCAAGACTGGAGAAGCGTCCACCAGCCTGGGATTCGGAGATTTCTGGCTGTTAATTCCCTGACACGCTAATGAAGTGCTTCCTTTATGAATTATTAATAAATACAATTGGAGGTTGTTGGTAGTGCAATGGTTGAAGTGCTTCACTGCAACCAAAATGTCAGTGATTCGAACCCACCAGCCACTCAGAGGTAGAAAGATGTCTGCTGTCTATAAAGATTGTTGTTAAGTGCCGTTGAGTAGATTCTATACAACCCTGTATAGAGTTTCCAAGGAGTGGCGGGTGAGCTTGAACCGCCGTCCTTGTGGTTCAAACCAACCTTGTAGCCCAGTGCATTAACTCTCTCCGAAACAATATGCGGCAGTTATTAACATGTAAATAATCAGATTTAGTAGTATTAGAGAGGGCTCATACGATAGAGTAGTCCTGGTGTGGCACTGTGGGTTAATGCGCCAGACTGCAAGGTCGGCGGTTCAAGCTCACCAGTTGCTCCTCAGAAACCCTATACAGGGTCGCTATGGGTCAGAACTGACGCGAGGGCAGTTAACAACAACATACGATGGAATAATTGCTGTTCATCTTCTTATATGGGTCACTATGAGTCGAAATCAACTTGATGGCAGTGGGTTTTGATTTTTGGTGGCGCTGCAGGATAAGCAACAAGCATTGGACTGCTGACCACCAGGTTGGCTGTTCAAGGCCACCAGCCTCTACACGGGAGAAACAGCTCCTGTAAATATTTACAACCTCGGAAATCACAGAGTCTCACAGTTGGAATCCACTCCATGGCAGTGAGAGAGAACCAGAAAGCCCTCTTTGTAACCTGTCTCCAGATACCGGTGGCAGGACTTCAGGCCAGCTGGGCCAATCAAATGATTGGAATTTGTGATAGCATGCAGCGGTCTCCCGCCAAACGTATTGACGGTCATGGCAGCCAATCGGCGGCCGCCTCAGCAGCGTTGAAGGCGGGACCGTATGAAATGAACTCTGAAGTCTTTTAAAGGGCGGTTGCTAGGAGTTACGCATAGCGTGAGATTCAAGAGGACGAGTGCAGGAGGTTTAGCCAATCACCTCTTAGTACGGGTTTAGAGGGGCGTGTTGGCTTGACCAGAACCAATTCGTGGCCGACGCTGTATCAGTAGGGCGGGAACATCCTCTCGCCAATCTTAAGTACTCGGAGGCGGGTCTGACAGTTCGTGGACGGTTCCGGCGCCATGAATATCTTGCCCAAGAAGAGTTGGCATGTGCGGAACAAGGATAATGTGGCTCGCGTGCGTCGAGATGAGGCCCAGGCCCGGGAGGAGGAGAAAGAACGGGAGCGGAGGGCATTACTCGCTCAGCAAGAGGTAAGCTCGAGTCTCGTCAGGTGTGATTTCAGGGGCCAATTGCGCAGGCGTACAGGGCCGAGCCCGGAAGTGTAGTGGCGCGCCGGCGCAATGCGTCCCTTGTGTATTCTCAGCGCTGGAGCATCACCTGTGCCCATCTCCCGGAAACCTTCCCTAACCTCAGCCTTGTCTCTGCGTCCCCAGGGATATGTTCCAGGTTCCCAGAGCGCAGAGGAAGAGCTTAATTAAATATACGCTGAGTAAATAAAGCGAGCCCTTCAGTGGTCAAATAGAACTGTGATCATTTTAGTTTAAGGCACAATCGCCAGATTTACGCGTTGGTGGCACGGCGGGTTAAGCGTTGGGCCGCTAACCGCAGGGTCTAAGGGTTCATCCTACCACCTGCTGACAGATGAGGCTGTCTGCTTCTGTAAAGAAAGATCTACAATCTCCGAAACCCTGTCTAGGGTCGCTATGAGTTGGATTCAACTCCCTGGTAGTGTGTGTGGTTTGGAATAAAGGAGCCCGGGTGGTGCACTCTCTGCTGATAACGGAAAGGTTGGTAGATTGAACCTACCAACAATTCCGAGAGAGAAAAACACGATAATCCGTTCTCCTGAACATTACAGCCTGGAAACCCCCTGCCGTGAGTCAGATTTCTGCAGGAGCACAGTTCATTGTTCACGAATTCCCATTCTTCTTAGATCCACACAATTGAATGCCTTTGCATAGCCAATAACACACAGGCAGACAGATTTCTGGTATTCTCTGCTTTTAGCCAAGATCAGCTAGCAAGGTGTATCCCTTGGTCCACAACTTCTTCCAACTCCGGCGTGAATTTCTGCAGTTCTTTATAGATAAACTGCTGCAACCGTTTTTTGAATTATCTTCAGCAAAACTTTACTTAGCTGTTATATTATCACTCTTTGATCATTTCCACATTCTGTTGGGTCATCGTTGTTTGTAGTGGGCACAGATAGGAATCTCTTCCAGTCAACTGTCCACGTATATGTCTTCCAAATTTCTTAGCGCAGACCAGTGAAGGCTTCCAGCAATGCATCCATTGGCTGGAACATCTCAATTTGGAATGCCTTTTCCTTGTTTATCCCCAGTGCTTTCAGGGCACCTTGGACTTCTTCCTTTAGTACCATAGTTTCTTGTTCATAGGCTACATAAGTTTTTATTCTGAGGTTTACATGGAAGAATATCCATTTTATATTCATCCTATCGTATTTCTTTTCATTGCAATGATTACAGTCTCCTCCCTGCAATATGAAATAACCAAAGGGTACATGCCACAACCCCCTCCCTCACTGAGTTCAGTGTCCCCAGCTGCTCCATCTGCCCACATCATCGGCTCTGTCTCCATCTCTGGCGTCTCTGCCTCTCGGAGTAGGATCCCGCTCTCCGCTCTTCTCACTTGATGGTCCCAGAAACCTCCACTCTTGGGCTGCAAAATCAATCAGTCCCCTCCTTCTGTCAAAAAGACATCTACCTCTGTATTTCCTACCCTCACAGTCAGTCCTGATGGCAGTTATTCACTATTGTACCACAAGAGTCTTATCCCCATTTCCTTTCACCAGCTCAGTCCCAACAGATTGGAAATCATTCAGTGGAGATTCTACCTTCCCCCACCCTGTCTGGAACTGGGCTCCCTCTTGAAAGCTTGTAAGCCAGTCACTTCTTACCTCTATATTGTTGTTGTTAAGTGCCATCTAGTTGGTTCTGACCCATAGCAACCCTGTATAGGGTTTCCGAGAAGCAGCTGGTAAGCTTGAACCACCAAACTTGCCTTTGTAGCTCCCCCACCCCCATTTTGGGTAGCCAATGTCTAAGTTGCCCATCCCTGTCAGCCGTGTGTACCGAGAGGGTGGGAGTGATCCCCACTGTAAAGGTTTGTTCCCTTTTTTGAGCTATTGCATCCATAAGTATAGATAAAGTTCATCAAATTGTAGCAGGTTACACTTTTTTTATTTTTTCCCTCTTCTTTCTTCTTCTAGTTGAGTTCTGATCACCCATCCATCAAAGCTGGGTCAATGGGTGTTATCTGCAAGTATGGGTGTTCTTGTGCATCTCCCCTCACTTCATATCAGCTGGACGCTTCACTCTCTGCTCTAGTCCTCTGTGGCCATGTCACTACCTCTGGGCCCAGGAGTCCCCAGGTCTTGCTGTACTGCTGGCCATCCAGGTCTCCACCCGGATTCACAGGGGTCTATTGAATGTGGTCAGACTTAGCTCCCAACTTCATTGCTGGTTTTTCCCCCCCTCTTCCCCTTATTGGTGATTAACACGGTCACCAGCCAGTCCACCTGCCTGCTCATGTATTCCCCTTGAGTCTCAGTCTTGGAAGGGAGTTTGCTCTGAGGGCTCCTGACCACTTGCATAGGCTACTTCTTGAAATGGTTGAATGTAAACTTTTTAGTACAGCGACTCTGTATATCCCCTCCATCTTCTTTTGATGCTTCCTGCAGAATACTTCCACATTGCAACCAAGGTTTTAACTTTTCCTTCAGTGCTTTCAACACAAGACATTCTGACTCCACATCTTTGCACATTATAGCACTTTGTCTTTTTGAGCCACCCTTTGAAATCTGTTCAGTTCTTTAATGTCATCATCATTTCTTCCATTTGCTGTAGCTTCTCTATCATTTTGGCCTTTTCTTTCTTTCCTGTCTTTTTTAAATGACCTTTTACTTTCTTCATGTATGATATTCTTGATGTCATCCCACAACTCGTCTGGTCCTCAGTCATTAGTGTTCAGTGAACCAATTCAGATGCAGTATTGTACTTTGGCTGTCGTCGACTTGTTTTAATTTTCTTCTGTTTCAGTTGTTGGCCCTTGGCCTTACTCTGATTGATGAAACTGAGCTTTTCTATCATGTTTCGTCAGATATAGATTTGATTCTTGTGCATTCCATCTGGCGAGGTCATGTGTATATGTCGGGGTTTTATGTCGGGGTCCGACCCCGACATAGTTGTCACGAGTTTTTGGTTCACGAGGAGGGGAGATCCAGTGGCGATAGGGATAG